ACATAGAAAACTTGGGCAACTGAGTACTCCGAGCTCTACCTGCCAGCCATCAGAGTCCCTACTCAGGAGTAGTCCCTTCTTCATGAGGTACAGTATTCTCTTCCACCGGCAGTCATCCCTTTCGCCTTCCGCTGAACGCCAGTGCACTCAGAGCGGACAAGGGAACGGGTTTCACGAAGGTCTCTGGCAGAGGTAAGGGAGACACTACGCTCAACAGACCTCTTAAATTTCTTTGCAGGAAAGTGGTGGGCCCCATGCATATGGGGAACCTAACCTCTGCTTGCAAAGGACCCCATTTAAACATGAGACCCCCTCCCACCAGACACATACTTCAGACTGTGGCGGTTGTCTTGCAGATCTGCAGCTCCATCCCAGTTCCATCCATGGGCTGAGGAGAGGATCCACGCCATTCCTCTGAATCATCCCAAAGGACGGATGCGGAAAAGTGAGTGCTATTGAAAGTCTACTTGTACTGTAATTCAAGGGTTACCCGTTATTGCCCATTCCCGTAGGGATCAAGGAAAGACCAGATTCAAATGCCCCTTGGCCATGGAAGCTCACGGCTGATGTCCTCATTGTCCTGCAGCTCAACCTACCTCACAGGGTTGCGGCGTGAGAAAAACTGAAGGGGGGAGCGATCTCAATGCTGCCTTGAGCTCCTGGAGGACAGGGGAACAAACTCTCCCATCGATCAATGCATTAGCATGAGGCCGTTCACAGAAAACCATGCGCTGAACACAGTAGCTGTAACTGAGGGGCAGCGCATCCCAGGCAGCTAAGCCATATTCTGGCTACTCAGAAACTTTGGGAAAAGGGTTGAATTCCTCCCCTTGCTGCTCCTTCGGAAGCCACGCACGTTTCCCCGTGTTGCTCGTCCCCCAGCCCCGTTTCCAGCTTTGTGTTGGGAAGCAGGTGAGCAGAATGGGGAGGAACAGCTGGATGGCCTCCAGGTGCTGGGAAAGGCTGGGATGTGGCAGGAGCCCAGATCCCCCTCCATCCCGTCCCACAGAGGCCTTTGGAGGGGGGGGCTGAAAGCAGAACCCAGGACTTTCAGCAGAGGAAGCTGTAGTAGGTCTGGCAATTCTTTTCTGGATTTCAAAATTCATGTGAAAAGAACACAGGGACATTTTCAAAAAGACAGAGCCTCAGCTGAGGGGCTGGCAATTCTGAAAGCAGCTGGAGGCTTAATGCGTCTTTTGGACAATCGGATTAGAATCAGACTAATGGGGGGGGGGG